GTACCTCTTCTGTAAATAATAAAATATGAAAAGAAAAATATTTGGGGAAAGTTATTTTTGACACTTTTTTGTATTGTTGATATTGCCAAAGCTACGGGAAAACACCCTGTATACAACTTGTTAGAATTTGCTGCAGCGTAGGTGTACGTTTTTGCGCGCTGATAAAAATACAAAAGTACTAAATATCTATTTTTCTATATAAATATTTGAAAAATTGTTGAAAACCAACACTGCACATTTTTTGACAACAAAATTATTTTCGGAAAAACATTTTTCATAAATTTGGCAGCGTCTCAACTAAAATGTTTGTATTCATCAAATCACTTAAATTGCATTGAACAAAACAGTATGAGTCATTTGTCAGGTGAAAAAAATATTTTTCTATATTCGTCTGGCCAAAAAAATACATACACTAAACAATATTTCTCATCCTGTATATCGCTGCTAAGCGTTTTCGTTTTTTTTTTTAGAGTTGTTAATGCATGTGTTGTAAATAACTTTTTTTATGTAAATTCCTACCGTTTTATCCTATTTTCCGTTCCGTGTTACTCCTAATGATGAAATCATCAAATTAAACTTAATCGCTGACCGTATCCTACGAAATGTAATTGAGATAACGGTTGCGACACATAAATTGAAACAATTAGAAATTTTTACACGATTATCGAACCGTAAATTTTTGTATGTAAGTGTCTGTGGATAGAAAGTCTTGAACTTTGCTCGTTGGTCGCTGCGTATAATCAGATACTTAGGTAGCAGTTGCAACTAATACTCTGCTTTTTTTTTGTTTTGATTATGACTATTAAAACGTTGAAATTATTGTCCAGAAAACGGATTAATCGTGACTTATAATATTTATCGAAGTGTCTTAGTATTTTTAACCAATTTTGCATTTGGTATACCAAAATTCCAATTTCATAACTAGCATTTTACACTAGAAGTTGTTTTATTTTTGCTTTAACTGTTCAAAAGGTGGCTCCGCATTTACATGTATTTTTCTGTTCTATATTTTTTCCGTAATCCTTTCACACATCAACTGATAGTCCCATTCAAAATATCCCATTTAATCCTACTAATATAAATTATGTCATAATTACAGCATAGAAACAACCAATATATTTTAGATAAGGCATTTTTTATCTAACCCATATCAGTTATTCACATAATTATCAGAGGAAATGATAATTATTATTAGTCATTTCTAAGATAACTTGTCAAATTGAATCAATTTTATTATAAATTTAGCTTTAAAAATATTGAATATGTATCAAGGCGGCTCTGCCGAACACTCGTCCGTTTCCGAAGGATACTCGAATGGGACATAAATCAGCGGCTCCTCGTGGCTTATCGAATTAACGGCCTAATGACCCGTTAAACAGTTTTGGGATCCCGAGGCCGATTTTGCACAATTATTCGGTTGTATAAGGCATATAAATAGCTCCAATTTCGCGATCGATTACCCTCATCATTACGGTCTGCCGGCCCGAGGTGCATGTTCGTATATACCGGTAGCAGCGACACCTATTGCACCGATAGCAAATCCGATCACGTGCTCGACCAGATGCACGTTTCCGATATATTCTAAAAAAAAATTGAATCGATAAAGGCCGTTCACCGCACAGTTACATTCCGATGGGAAAAAAATCGAAACTTCGATCTAGTTACATAATGCTACTACCGTTTGTGCGATAGGAATTTGTTATCCGTATCGGGACCACGTCGACTGATTCAATAGAAATATTGGCCGTAATTATGTAATGTTTTATTTAATTGGGTGTTCTGGCCACACTAAATAAACATTTTAATGATTTTCTCTATTAGTTCTTGTTATACAAAACTACACTCAGCAAACAAATTAAGGGGGATAAAAATTTCCCAATTTTTTTTAGTGATTTTTGAGACTAACTTCGACTAATTAATGATCGTATTGAGAAAATAAAAAAGGCATCTTGAAGCTTGAACATTCTAGTTTTGAAATCTTGAAATAAAACATTTTTTGAGCGCAATCAAATGAAATAATACAAGGCAAAAATTTTATAATTTTTTTCAAAACTGCCCATGGGCTCAGAAAATTTTTTTACGGCTTAATCAATGCCAGGGCATTTATGATTCCTCAGCTTCAATTTGGTTTTTAATTTTTTTTTTATGGTAGATGGGTTTTGGACACTTCAATCAATATTCTTCAAGACCCTTTGGTAAGTTTGAGAAAAAACAATTATACTCAGTAGGTATTAATTTGAAAAAATGCAAGAAAATGATTTTCTGCTGTTTTGGAAAATCAAAGACTACTTTGGAAATATTACGAAAAGCACAAAATTTTTTTTCGATGTAATATTTTCCTTTTAAAAATTATGTCTAAAAAGCCCCATTCATTTACTAACTTTTTGATCTCTTCAAGTTTTTTCGAAAAGTTAAAGATTTATGAAGAAAAAAAATGTATTGCAGTGCAATAAAAATTGATCGAAAAAAATTATAAGAAAAAATTTCATAGGGATTGATTATTTCAACCCCTTACAAAAATACTTCAGGATTGAAAGAATTTCAAAAAGTAATTTTTTTGACAGATAATGTTCAACAAGTTTGGTTTCTTTAACTTGATATACATGGAAGATAAAAAAGAAAAACAAGTTTTATTTTGAAATTTTTTTGGGGGCGTAACTTTTCAGGGGAAAGTTTTTTCAAAAAATTTTATATCAAAGACCCCTATTAATTTTCATCAGAGAACTGCCCCTTACATTTTTCCGGTGTTATTTATAGATACACCCTGTATTCTCATGTTATGTTAAAAATCTCTTGAAAGGTTGTTAATTAATAATTTATTATTATTAATCTTTGGCGCGTAAAATAAATGTTTTAAACGGGTGTTCGCTACCACGCTAACTGGTGATGTTATTTAGTGCGATCGATAATCTTGGAGGATGAGTGACACCGGACGACCTGAGAGCATGATCATAGTATAGTCATTATAATAATTTGTATATAATGTGCAGAAATAGTATATTATGTTACTAGGAGTAGAAGGCGATCATTATGTGTTGAGCCCAAAAGTTTGCTCGCCGAGGCGTTAGCCGAGGCTGAGCAAATTGGGCAAAACACATAATGAGCCTTCCACTCCNAGACTCTTTGGTAAGTTTGAGAAAAAACAATTATACTCAGTAGGTATTAATTTGAAAAAATGCAAGAAAATGATTTTCTGCTGTTTTGGAAAATCAAAGACTACTTTGGAAATATTACGAAAAGCACAAAATTTTTTTTCGATGTAATATTTTCCTTTTAAAAATTATGTCTAAAAAGCCCCATTCATTTACTAACTTTTTGATCTCTTCAAGTTTTTTCGAAAAGTTAAAGATTTATGAAGAAAAAAAATGTATTGCAGTGCAATAAAAATTGATCGAAAAAAATTATAAGAAAAAATTTCATAGGGATTGATTATTTCAACCCCTTACAAAAATACTTCAGGATTGAAAGAATTTCAAAAAGTAATTTTTTTGACAGATAATGTTCAACAAGTTTGGTTTCTTTAACTTGATATACATGGAAGATAAAAAAGAAAAACAAGTTTTATTTTGAAATTTTTTTGGGGGCGTAACTTTTCAGGGGAAAGTTTTTTCAAAAAATTTTATATCAAAGACCCCTATTAATTTTCATCAGAGAACTGCCCCTTACATTTTTCCGGTGTTATTTATAGATACACCCTGTATTCTCATGTTATGTTAAAAATCTCTTGAAAGGTTGTTAATTAATAATTTATTATTATTAATCTTTGGCGCGTAAAATAAATGTTTTAAACGGGTGTTCGCTACCACGCTAACTGGTGATGTTATTTAGTGCGATCGATAATCTTGGAGGATGAGTGACACCGGACGACCTGAGAGCATGATCATAGTATAGTCATTATAATAATTTGTATATAATGTGCAGAAAATTTCTATTATATGTTCATTTGGCCAACAACATATTTTAATTACTTATGTCCTCAAACAACTTTATTATATTGATGGTAAATTTCGTCTTGTTCCGTTTCAAAAGGTCTCCAAAGTGCCGTGTTGTAATAATATTATTTCTCCCTTTCGCAATTGTAATATATGATCAATACAAGGTGCCTATAATAAATTAAAATTACCTGATTTACACCAAATTCCGCATTGCTGCACTGCACTGCTGGGCAATTTGTCAACGGCTGAGATTTATTGCCCAATGCAACTGTATTTGTATTTTGTTTGTCCGCGCTCGCATTCTTCAATATTTCTACCACCACGTTTAGTTCGACCAGACCTGTATATGGGTATGGTTAACAAGTTTTTCAAATTTTTCAATGCCGAGTTGCTGCGTCAGCCATTGAACCTGGTACATACTGTGATCCTCTTGGTTCTTCAATTGATATCGGAAAGACTATACCTAACAAGAGTATAGACTCAACTCCGTAGAGAGTGTGTATAATTAATTTGTAGCATTAAGGAAATAATTTTGTTACCAGCTGTCGGATATAGGCCACAAAATACTTTTGTAAAACAAATTAAATTTTTATGCAAGTTGCGTATTTGATTTTGATTAAAATAGCCTGTCATTTACATGTTGTGCACTATTGTTACAGTTAAATATGCATTAAGTAAGTCATTGAAACACATACAGTTTTTTGCTCAATGATTTATTTACTTGTGCTTCAAATCAGAATTGCAAAGTACCACTTGAAACTGTGCATATTTTTCAAACATTTGGGCATTAGGATAAATAAAAAAAAGAAAATGTTGAAAATAATGCTTTTTAACAGAATACTGAAAATCCTGATCAGGTTTTTCTCTTTCAAATTTGAAAAGGTTTGTGACAATTTGGATTTTAGTTTATGTTGAGAAAATAATTGAAATCAGTAAAGATTTACAGTTTTTGACCACTCAAATTTTACTAACTTTTAGATGGCCCTTTTTTTTGCTGTTGACTTTGCCCTCAACCAATAATAAACCGAGAATTGTAACGTTGTTAATTTCGACTTTCCGCTTCAGAGATGGTCGAGGCCATGAAGAAGGTGGCCAAGCTGGACCTGGAGCTGACCGTCGAGGAGAGGAACCTGCTCTCCGTCGCCTACAAGAACGTGATCGGGGCCAGGAGGGCGTCGTGGCGCATCATCTCCTCCATCGAGCAGAAGGAGGAGTCTAAGGGCATCGACGATAAGCTGGAGATGATCCGCCAGTACAGGTCGCAGGTGGAGAAGGAGCTCAGGGACATCTGTTCGGACATTCTCAGCGTGCTCGACAAGCACCTGATCCCCGCCGCCTCCACGGGCGAGTCCAAGGTCTTCTATTACAAAATGAAGGTAAGAGCTTAGCGAAAATAAAAGTTAAGGTAAAAAATACGGGTTCGTATTATTGCGATGGTGTAATTAAAATGGTCCGGTAGGCAGGGGCTCAGAAGTAGAAGTTTCCCATAAACCCCATACAAATCGGCTATAAATATGTTATAGAACAATACATTAAAATGCACAAGGGCCACGTAGTGAGACAAAAAATTTATTAACAATTTACGTCGCAAAAAATGCTTTTTTTGTTTGTTTTTCTTCAATCTGTCTCACTATGCAGTGCTTCTGCATTTTAACGTGTTATTTTGTAACATTTGCAGTCGATTTGTGAAAAAAAATAGAGGATTTATAAAAAATTATCACAATCAGGATGTTTTAAGCTTGTCGCTCACTAGGGCGCGCCGGAAGGCAGCGTACCGCAGCGCGGAAATATTCCTCAGGTAAGATTCCGCGCCGCTGCGGAGCGCTGCTCTGCGGTATTGTGAACGCATCTGTATTTAAAACTGTGGAATCTGCTCTTCGTCGCGCTGCCGTCCGCTTCCGAGCGGTGCGCTCTAGTGAACGACAACCTTTAGACCTCCGTAGACTGGACTAAAAATAGAGTGGCATTGTTTGCTGTTTTTCGATACATTAAAGTGAATGTCACCTATACATTGCTTATGTTAATCGGAATACAATTAACCCCCTGAAGTGTCAAGTACGTTGGATTGAACAGGAAAGAAATATACTGGAAATGTATTTTGTTTAATATGTACATGGAAAACTAAAATGTGTGCTATATGTCTCGTCTGTCATTACCACCTAGATTAGATGCAACAACACTTCGTGTATGACGTCACTTGGAAGATGATTTATCATTCGGTAAACCCTTCGAAATAAAATAAAGTGTACGTCATTCCTTAGGCAAAGGACATGGTGCAGATTGTTATGTTATTGTGGATTTGCTTGCCATTCGAAAACTAAATTTTTTCTTATGGAAAACGAAGTTTGAAAGTAAAAAATAATACAGGGTGTCCCGTAAGCACATGATCAAAAAGGTACTGGCTCAAAAGAAGACGATTTGACTTAACTTCCAATAAGAAAAAATGTCTGGCTCCTCCGCTATTGTTTGTCAAAGTTCTTGAAAAAAAGTATGTTTTTTGTAATATCTGGAGAATGTTACTATGGATTTTAATGAAACTTGCTGTGGACTTGTTCCTAAGTAAGACTCATGTTTTGACGAAGCAACCGCATCCATCGGCCTTGGGCAAGTGGTAAATTCTGAGTGTCTTGCTACAAGAATTACCAGAACTTTTTATTTGGTCGCTGGAATCAATTCATTTTTTTTTATTGATGCATCAGTCCTTTTTGGAGATTTTCGTGCTCTTGGTAAAATTTTGTAGCATTCATAGTTTTTACGCTAAAAGATGTTTTTCGTTTCGTTGAGACTTAACAATATTTTAGACGTATAGCAGTAAATCTGCCCTCTTACAAAAAACGGCTTTCTCTAATAATTATGCCAATTCTTTTACCTAGGATATCGATATTGAAAGTAAAATGGTTACAATTTTAAAATCTGTCGCGACGCGACGTATTGAATTCATTTTATTTCATTAGATTTACTTTTTGTTAATGCGCAATTGTAAAGACGTACGTAGGAGACATAATTCTCTTTATTGAAACTGGATGATACGGTAGATGATGATGGAATTACAAAACATGTTCGATATGTCGGCCATTTTCTTGGATGCATAGCCGGATCCTTCAATTGAAATTGAATTGAGCCCTCCTCAACATTTCTGGATCATTCCAGTATTACGTCCGTCTTGTTTTGAATCCTACGTAATTAGTTTTCCTGTGATTCCACAGGAGTGGCGCAAACTATTCTTTAAGGCTCCTCATAGAACAAAATCTAATGCCGTTAAGTCGGGGGACCTGGGGGACCATTCGACAGGAACGTCTTCTTCCGATTCACTTGTGTTAAAAAGTATTATTTAAATGTGCAGCTATATCTGCACTAAAGTGCGAAGTACCATCGTGTATGAACCACATCTGAGCACGAAGATCGAGAGTGACATCGTCCATTAGAACCGGAAAAGTATTATTAAAAAAAAAAATTGAGATAATTTTCACTATTCATGCGGCGCGGCATGATATAAGGACCCAGAAGGATGTCATCGATGATCCCGGCCCAAACATTTGTTCGAAATTCCACTTGAAAGTGGTTAATACGCCTTGCATGTGGGTTTCCTTCTGCATTTATTATAAAATGACATTATCGCTTTCTACGGTAGTAGTGATTGTAGTGAGTAGTTGTACTTTAGTAGTAGTGATAATGATTATCTAAAATTGAAAACATTTTTCTGCGTAAAAACTATGAATGCTACAAGATTTTACCAAGAGCACGAAAATCTCGAAAAAGGACTGATCCATCAATTAAAAAAAAATGAAGTGATTCCAGCGATAAAATAAAAAGTTCTGGTAATTCTTGTACCAAGATACTCGAGGATTTACCACTTGCCCAAGGCGGATGGATGCGGTTGCTTCATCAAAACATGAGTCTTACTTAGGAACAAGTCCACAGCAAGTTTCATTAAAATCGATAGTAACATTCTCCAGATACTACAAAAAACATATTTTTTTTTCAAGACTTTGACAATCGATAGCAGAGGAACCAGACATTTTTTCTTAATGGAAGTTAGGTTTGGTAATGACGTCACTAAACAATGGCGCATGAGATATGAAGCCTTATATCTAGTAATACATGCGTCTACGACGTTTCTTTAGGTTGTGCCCATCTTCATCCGTAATTTTTATCCGTGTTAATTTGGCGGGTTACTTGTATGAAACAATTTACAACACGTCGTCGAATGTGTAGCGGCGATATTGGAACAGATGTCGGAAAAGTATGAACATATGTTCGTATGTTTTTATGTGCGTGGCAATGTATGATTCAATTATTATTCTGATGGACCAGATCGAATATACTCGTTCTACGTAGTCTGGCCGTGATTGAAGTTTTATTTAACAAAGTTTTTTTTTTGTCTCAAAATTCTTATTTCGTTTTTTTACGTCTACTTATATGGAAGTGAAAATTAACTTTTATTAAACGCGTATTATGTAATTTCTCTTATGTTTGTTATGAAACAATCTGCGCATATTACTGCTACGATAATCGCTTCGGCAAATGTTTTCCAACGTAATTTTCGTTGTACACGTTATTTGTTGATTTATTAGGTAAACTTGTTAGACGTGCTAATAAACCGATCAAATTCGCAACGAAAATAAATATTTTAATAGCGGCAGTAAAGTAGAAATCCCATATTATTATCGAATGATTGGAAAATAAAAGCTAACGTGCCGCAATTTCGGTTAAACCGTAAAAACGGGGATGTGGAGTCGCTCAGTCGGGTTCGTCTGCGACGTCACATAACGGGGAGCCAAATGTAGCGATCGGGCCAACCTTTAGCTTAGAATCCTTGGCTCCGCTACATAGGGTCAGGATTGTCGCATTGGCGTATCGTCTGAGTGGCGACCTAGAATGTTGCATCATGCGGATATCCAGCCAATTCCCCATTATTTTCAGAAATCCAGAGCGTTTTTATTTAAAATGTCTGGATGTTGTACAGTTTTAAGTCAAACTCCAAAAAATTTCTTTAAAAAAATAGAAAGCAGGTTTCTTCGTGAAAGGAAAACGTATTAACTTATTTCTATTTTAATTAAAAATTTTATTTTACATGTTGGCATACTGATAGGGTGGTATGACAACAATTTGCTGCACTAATTTTTAAGTGGAAAAAATCCAATTAATCCGTGTTTTCTCCGCTAGGGGTCATTACAGTTTCCTCAATAATTGAATAATTTGATTTGTCACAAATTAAACGATTTTCTGTTTGCGATTTTCCGATTTTTTTTTTATTTTTTTGCCTCTAGTTTTTTTTTGAGTAAAGATGGGTATAGGCATTGCTTCATAGAAAAAAAAGTAGATAAAATTTCCTTCAAAACGAGAGGTTGTAGAGTATTTTAAGATGAAAATTGACTGATATATGGCCGCTCAATCTTAGCCATTTTTTTTATTTTCGTCGCGTTTACCCTTATACGATTTAATTATAATTTTTTACAAAAAAGGAAGGAAATAAGGCGTTCAAGGATTTTCATCACATGACTTGTTCGAAGGGTCATTTTAGATGAAAAAACCGTGGGGTGCTATTAAATTAGAGGGTTGAAATTGAAGATAGGGGTGAATATGCACTTTTACAGTTTTTTAAATATAGCACGAAAACGAAGCAAAATTTCGGTGTAGTGCATAGGAAAAATTTTTTAGAGAATTAAATTTCTCATAGAAATGGCTTATTTAAAAAATGTGAATGGAAAATTTTATTAAAAAAATCTGTAATAAACAATTTTAAAGAAAGCAAAAATAAGATTTTTTTATTTTTTTTACTTTTTTAATTAAATAATTTAGTAAAAACTTGAGAATTTAAGTACAATAAAGTTTATTAATAATGTATATACAGTGTGTCCACGGATGGAGTTGACAACAGAGAAACTCTTTTGTTTTTGACATTATCGAAAAATGTCACTCTATAAAAAGTTCTGCCCCTCGAAAAAATTAGACTGTCGTACAAACATAGATTAGATATACAGGATGCTCATAAATTAAAAAGCCACGAAAATACTCAAGAGAGAAGTACAATTATTTACTATTTTACACAACATTTTTATAAAACATATCTGTATATAACCTCAAATAATGTCCTAATACAAATTTTAAAATCAAAATTCAATTTTTGAGGTGGGAAGCAGCTATACATATAGAGTAAAAGTCAGAATAACAAGAAACATACTCATAAATTTGTTTTTTTTTATTTGGAATTGCGCTTTGAAGAAAAACACATTAGCGGACATTTTACTTGTTCATTTGTTAGCTCAAAAAAAAAAAAAACGAATTGCATCTGCCAATAAATACCATTTTTGCAAGGGTTCTACCATTTCACGGCAGCAAGTCGTAATGTCGGCAACCTCTTATCGGTGATTCCCCTCCTTTTTCCAGGGCGACTACCACCGGTACCTCGCCGAGTTCGCGACGGGCAACGACCGCAAGGACGCCGCCGAGCACTCCCTGGTGGCGTACAAGTCCGCCAGCGACATCGCCATGACCGAGCTGCCACCCACCCACCCCATCAGGCTCGGGCTGGCGCTCAACTTCTCCGTCTTCTACTACGAGATCCTGAACAGCCCGGACAGGGCGTGCCGTCTGGCCAAGGCCGCCTTCGACGACGCCATCGCCGAGCTGGACACCCTCAGCGAGGAGAGCTACAAGGACAGCACGCTCATCATGCAACTGTTGAGGGACAACCTCACGCTGTGGACGAGCGACATGCAGGGTGACGGTAAGTCTCGATACCCGCAGATTTATCTCGTTCTTTTTATAAAAATTTTATTTCTCTTGCACCAAGGTGGAAGATTTGGGGGGATTTCTCTAATTTTCAAAGATTTTTTCAAATTTCATTTGTAATATGTCTCTATGTACAATATGGTGCCTCTGAACACAAAGTATACTCTATATAGAGCAAAATCTCTAGTACTGAGTTTGGTTTAAAAGTTTCAGTGCTCTTCATATTAACGGATTTTAATTTTTAGAATTCTGGGAAAAAATCTTATTATGGTTTGTCTGAATACCAAAAATTAAAGCCAACCTAAATATAATGGTTAATTTTGGATTTAGAAGAAAATGGCATTTTCTTAATCTATCAAAGTTAAAAATAATGACTGAATAATAATATAATAATGATGATTAATAATAATTTTATTTTGACTAAATAATTTTCTAGGAGGTTTCATTGCTCAAATATAAAAATTTCTATCCTACTGTTTTACGTTTTTCTTCCCAGTTTGAATATCAAAAATTACATTTTAAATTGTACCAATATAAAAAATAATCATTTTTTATATTTTTTGTATATTTTTTATTTATTTATTTATTTATTCTGAAGCAGCAGATATAAATTTATTCAGTTGTGTGGTAAGTTTATTTTAGATTGAAAAAATAATTGAAAATTGACGACCTTTTTCAAATAAAATGGGAAAAGTCCTTTTTTCTCAGAAATCCAGTTTAAAAAAACAAATGCACCAATTGAGTTTCTAAAATTCTCAATGGCGACAAATTATGTGGTTCTTAATGACCGTGCCCTCGAGTATCTCCACCGCTGCGCACTGGTCCGAACAATATTTGTTGAGATATAACTCCAAGAAAAGAATAAGCCAATAAAGTTCTGTTATCGAAACTACTTACTGCAACAATTTACCGTGGCGGGCGTGCCTTGAAATTTTCCGCCAATGTCTCTACCTCGAGTCTCGAATGCGGTTAATTCCAAGGAAATGACGCAGGGGTCTTCTCGGAATTCTATCTCAACCAAATATCGTATGGACTATAATAATTATTTAAAAATTCAGTGAGTTTTTAACTTTATTTACTTAAGCCATTAGCCTGACATTAATATTATATTTTTAAGAAATTTAACACATTGAAACAATTCGAGGAATCAGCTGAAATATTCTTACTTTCTTAATTTACATTCTGTATTTGTACAATTTTGATAATCTCAACAAATATTTATGGACCTACATAGGAATTTTCTTATTTGGAAATTGTTGATTCAGGCAATTTACAGTACCTAAAATATTAACTTTGTTAATTGTTTGTTCACATACTTTTGTATTGGACTAAATTTAGTGTAGTTTCGTTGCACATCATCGAATGTTTATACAGGATGTAACTAAAGTATTTATTATTTATTTATTTTTGTGCAGAGGGTTGCAAATAATGATTAAAAATTCTACTAAGGGCTCGACTAAATTAGTAGGGCAGGTATTAAAAACTGAAAAAAAAGATTTATTTTAAAATTATTATTTTTTTTAAATAACTTGAAATTACTACATTTTTAAAGATAAATACCTCTAGGTGGTATATTTTGCCATTTATTTCAAAAACAGCAATGTAATAAGTAAGAACAATCTGAGGTCCACATATTTTTATGAAAAATTAAAAATTGGTATAAATTTGAAATATCTACAACTGTATCATTGCAATTTAAAAGTAATTGTATGTATAATTAAACTTTAAAATCCTCTATATCAAAAAATGAAGCATATATTTGCACGTTTTTTTTTTTTGTTAGTATGTTACATCCTTATAATTTGTCCAATTACTGATATGTATGTAGCAAAGAAAAAAGAATTTTTTTTCAACCTCACTCATTAAAAATTAAAAAATTTACAAAAATATCCTTTGGCCTTACTATTTGTTTATATGAGATTTGCCATTTTCCGGTCTTTGAGATAATAAATTAATCAAGAAATTAACCAACCATTTAATAATAAAAATAAAACATCTATTGAAGTAAGAATTGAGATATAAAAATGCAAAAAATAACAAATACAAGTAAAATAAAAATATAATAATATAAATAATGGGTTATTTCCAAAAAATAGCATTTAAAAGTTAATCAAAATGAAATGTAAAAATCGAACCTGAAATCTGATGACAGAAATGAGATTTTTCGATCCCCAGAAATGATTGAATGAACAACACATTTGACGTAATTTGTGATGCAGATAATATACAGGGTGATTCACAAATGGTGACCAAAAATGAAACCTCTTATTCTTTGGTGAATTTTAAGGGGTCTTTCCCATAGTTTTTATCTAGCACGCTTGGTTAAAAAGATACAGGGTGTTAAAATAAACTTTAGGGGGTGATTTTTCTATAGTTTTAAATGGTACCACGGTAAAAATCTGCTATATTCAGGTTTAAAATTTGATAAACATAAATAATAGCTTTTAATCGGTCTTTATTTTAGGGTATTCCGTTGTGGAGCGCCTTAATATCGTTTTTTGTTTGTGTTTCAGGGGAGGCGGAACCGAAAGAACAGCTACAAGACGTAGAGGACCAAGACGTATCATAACTTTGAAGCGTTGCAGTTGGCAATATATATTGAACTGTTGAGTGCTGTGTAGTGCGGGGCATTGCCCAGACATTGTAAAAGGGGCGGGGCGAGTGGTACCTTGCCCCCCAACCCTGGTACATACTGTATTATTATTATTACTAGCTGTAACAATATATTCTGTAACTGTTTTGTCTCTCCTGTGTGACTGCGATCGAGTGACTGCGCCACTTCCGACGACACGGGCCGGTCCCCCCCTCCCCGAGAGGTCCGCCCGTGTCCTCGGAAATTTCATTTGAATGCCCTAGAATCTTCGCTTAGGTATTTAACGTTGGATTTTTTGTATTTTTATCTTTAAATAAAATTGTCAAGTATTTAATGATTTGTTACCAGTCGGGTCCGTTCCTCGGGCACGACGCCCGCGCCCGGGGAACGCCTTTGTGTATAAATTTTATATAGTAGGCGTACTTGAGTTCTTACCAACCTCTGACCAATCTTTCGAAGCGGGACGGGCCATTCCGTCTCTTTTTTAAATTAGTGGATACGCTTAGAGACGATCTTCTGCCTTGTCGTACTCTCGTAGACTTTATAGTTTGTATATTTTATGGAAGTTGTCGTTTCTCTTTCAATTTTCGTTTCGGTATGGATACAGCAGTATTTTTCTTAAAAAAACACGCATAGGTCCGTACAAAGTAGCATTCCGTTTATGTGCATTTTCGAGTACTTAATGTGGTTGAGGGTCGGTTTGCGTGCGGACGGTACTGGCAAAGCAATAAACTTGGAATCCTCACACACGATAGAATCCGAACTTGACAATCCTCACCAGCAGCTGCTGCTCCCGACACCACGCAGGCCGGCCGCCGATTTTGCTGTTACATCACTGTTTTCTTGCGATCGCGCCAGGTCTTCTGGAAGCTGGCAGCTTGGTTACTTAGTCCGTCGGTACTTAGGCGTCTAGAAAAACACTGCCAGGATGTCCGGACGTCTCTCTCCGGGAGACGGGCAAAACTGCGCTTTGGCGACACTTACGAGTTGGGGTTTCTGGCCGGTTTTTTTTTTACAAGACTTTGCAAGTTCTCGCTGTTGGATTTTAATTTTATTTGTATTTTTGCATTTTTTATTGTGCGTATGGATGTAAACAGTGCTGTGTAGATTGATATAAAAATTTGATGTATTATTATAAAAATATTTGAAATTGGCACCCGCTCGTTTTCTTTCATCACATCCTCCTTGTCCCCCCCCACTTTATATGAAAAAACAAGTTTGAAACCGGTCTGTATTTAGTGATTTCGCTGCCAAACTGTGTTGGCTGTTTACTGGATGTTGGAGTTGTAATTTAATGCTGGACAGGGCATTTAGTCCCAGAGTAGTTGTTTCCCAGAGTGTGATAAGTAGACATCGGAAACTTTGTGACAATCAAAGTGGCAATCTATATTGTGCTAGTAAGCAGCAATACGCTTTGTGGTAGCAAAGGCTAAATCTGTGGTCCAAGCCATGTGCCGCTCTATTCTCACAATAGACGATGCTGCTCATAAAAACGTGCCATACACAAAGCGTCCCACACATGCACAAATGACGATGAAATGCATAGCCAACATCTGCAAAAAACCTGAATTGTTTGCCGACAGGGCAGGCATTAGGGTGCCACTAGATATCTATTGAATAAATTGATCGATGCCAAGCTTCAGATCAGAGGCACATGTTATTGTACAATGACGTGGGTAGTGAGTTTACTAAGATGTGAAGTAGTTGATGCTTCTCCACCATTAGAAAATTATTAAAAACTTGACTATTTTAGATTTGCGTCTGTGACCACGGTAAATATTGAACGGTCATATTCCTTTTTAAAATAATAGACCAGGAAAAGAAACATTTTGAAATTTATTAATTACTAGGTGTGATTTTATTGTTGGAAAGTCTTGGGAATGATAATACAAGAGGCGTCTCATCTCGTGGCTCATAAAAAAGTATAGCGTCATTGTTTTTTATCAACAAATAGGTCAAAAATTTCGTCATTTTTCGTTATACGCGTTATTGTAAAAAAACTTAATTTTAGCAGAAAATGTTCAACAGACGATTTGATCTAGAGAATCTTTAAAGTGAGACTTTATAAGTTAAAATTGCTTTATAAACAAAAAATTTATTTGTTTTACAAGGGTAGAAATAATCCAGAACTATTTTTTTTGTCAAGCTACCCCAAATTAAAAAAAAAGAAGGTTCTACGTTACATAGAAGCTGAGATATTCAAATTTGACATTGTCAGTTTTTTTCCTGGTTGAGAGGAAGTTCCTCCCCACCACCACTCCTTGAAGGGCTATTGCCACGTACCCTTACTTTGACGGGCTCTGGATTGATCAATTATGGGCAAATTTAATTAAAATGAACAGGGCATAAAGTTTAAACCTTCATTTGCAAAATGTTAAAATTTCAGGTCTTAATGTTTATAACAAATTGCCCTGTGATTTAAAAAAACTAACTCCGTACCTATTGGTTGTAGAAACTTTTTTTTTTCAATTTGTAGGTTTTTTACATGCTTTCAAATGGTGTATATAACTTCTTTCAAAAGTTAAAAACCGCGGAGTTATTTTATCTGTTTATTAGGGAAAAAAGTGCCTTTTATTTGGTAACAATTATAAACTAAATTTGAAAAAAAAAATAGTTTTTTTTAACTAGAGCAGGGATCGGCAAGTAATTTTAGGTGGAGTCCGGATACTTTTCAAAATATTTAACGAGGTCCAGAAAAAAAGCTCATATTCCTTACTAATTTTTTATTTTAATTTGCAAGCACAAAATAATGAAATACAATAGAGAGGCATATTTGTATTAAAAAATCAATGGGAGAAATTACATTTGCGGTCTTGAGTCAGTTTTTTTAATAACCTACTAACCATTAAAAAATTATGAAACGTATTGTTATCTATAGAAGAATATTTTTTTTAAAATAATTTGAGTAATTATACTTTCACAACATTTTTGGCGGTCCAGTTTTTTACCTTCCGTGGTCTGGATCTGTACCGCGCTCCGCCAGTTGCCGACCACTGAACTAGAGGATACTCGGTGTCCCTTCGAAGAAAATGAGCCCAAACAGAATGTTTTAATCACAACCCTGCCCCCCGAAATAGTCATTTGAAAATGGGCCTTTTTTGCAAAAATGGGATAAATAAATGGAATTTTGCAAAAACTATTTGACCGATCGAGCCCATCATTTGCACATCTCTTAAGGATATAAAGACTCACATTTTGAGAAAGATTGCTAAGATTTTATTAATTATTTAAAAAGTTATTAACAATTACAGAAAAAGCACTTTTTCCGTTTAATTTTGCAATAAATTTTTTGTTTATAAAGCAATTTTAACTTATAGTCTCATTTTAAAGATGAGTTTCTCTAGATCAAAGAACGAAAGTTCTACGGGTTATTGTAAAAAATCTATTAATCTTAGCAAAAAATGTTCAACAGACGATTTGATCTAGAGAAACTCATGACCAATTTTTGATCTATTTGTTGATAAGAAACAATGACGCTATACTTTTTTCATGACCCACGAGATGAGACGCCCCTTGTATTATCATTCCCAAGACTTTCCAACAATAAAATCACACCTAGTAATTTTCACGATTTCTCGATGATTTTTCACCGTTATTTCTTGGTCTATAAGTATTTACTGGAAGTATTTAAGATTGACTGCGGTACACTTAGGATATCTGTTAATTATTTTCTACAATCGTTTTCCTTATGAGTTAGAAATTATTATTTTGTTAACTTTTGCTGGTAGTTATTATTACATAATATACCTATATATTTTATAGTAAGTTCCATGTGAAGCGTTTAGTGTAGACAAATAGACACTGCCCCTTTTTTGTTTCATACTTTTATGCAAATACGTATATTGTAACGAGTGCAAATGCAAGAATGCGTTGTGTCACTTTTTTTAATAAAATTTAATCAAAGGGAACCCGGCCTACTGGCAACCTTGCACCACGTTGCAGTCCTAACATTTCTGCTCTCCAGTCGTAAATTAATTGTTAGTGATTATCACTNAATAATGGTTTATTCCAAAAAATAGCATTTAAAAGTTAATCAAAATGAAATGTAAAAATCGAACCTGAAATCTGATGACAGAAATGAGATTTTTCGATCCCCAGAAATGATTGAATGAACAACACATTTGACGTAATTTGTGATGCAGATAATATACAGGGTGATTCACAAATGGTGACCAAAAATGAAACCTCTTATTCTTTGGTGAATTTTAAGGGGTCTTTCCCATAGTTTTTATCTAGCACGCTTGGTTAAAAAGATACAGGGTGTTAAAATAAACTTTAGGGGGTGATTTTTCTATAGTTTTAAATGGTACCACGGTAAAAATCTGCTATATTCAGGTTTAAAATTTGATAAACATAAATAATAGCTTTTAATCGGTCTTTATTTTAGGGTATTCCGTTGTGGAGCGCCTTAATATCGTTTTTTGTTTGTGTTTCAGGGGAGGCGGAACCGAAAGAACAGCTACAAGACGTAGAGGACCAAGACGTATCATAACTTTGAAGCGTTGCAGTTGGCAATATATATTGAACTGTTGAGTGCTGTGTAGTGCGGGGCATTGCCCAGACATTGTAAAAGGGGCGGGGCGAGTGGTACCTTGCCCCCCAACCCTGGTACATACTGTATTATTATTATTACTAGCTGTAACAATATATTCTGTAACTGTTTTGTCTCTCCTGTGTGACTGCGATCGAGTGACTGCGCCACTTCCGACGACACGGGCCGGTCCCCCCCTCCCCGAGAGGTCCGCCCGTGTCCTCGGAAATTTCATTTGAATGCCCTAGAATCTTCGCTTAGGTATTTAACGTTGGATTTTTTGTATTTTTATCTTTAAATAAAATTGTCAAGTATTTAATGATTTGTTACCAGTCGGGTCCGTTCCTCGGGCACGACGCCCGCGCCCGGGGAACGCCTTTGTGTATAAATTTTATATAGTAGGCGTACTTGAGTTCTTACCAACCTCTGACCAATCTTTCGAAGCGGGACGGGCCATTCCGTCTCTTTTTTAAATTAGTGGATACGCTTAGAGACGATCTTCTGCCTTGTCGTACTCTCGTAGACTTTATAGTTTGTATATTTTATGGAAGTTGTCGTTTCTCTTTCAATTTTCGTTTCGGTATGGATACAGCAGTATTTTTCTTAAAAAAACACGCATAGGTCCGTACAAAGTAGCATTCCGTTTATGTGCATTTTCGAGTACTTAATGTGGTTGAGGGTCGGTTTGCGTGCGGACGGTACTGGCAAAGCAATAAACTTGGAATCCTCACACACGATAGAATCCGAACTTGACAATCCTCACCAGCAGCTGCTGCTCCCGACACCACGCAGGCCGGCCGCCGATTTTGCTGTTACATCACTGTTTTCTTGCGATCGCGCCAGGTCTTCTGGAAGCTGGCAGCTTGGTTACTTAGTCCGTCGGTACTTAGGCGTCTAGAAAAACACTGCCAGGATGTCCGGACGTCTCTCTCCGGGAGACGGGCAAAACTGCGCTTTGGCGACACTTACGAGTTGGGGTTTCTGGCCGGTTTTTTTTTTACAAGACTTTGCAAGTTCTCGCTGTTGGATTTTAATTTTATTTGTATTTTTGCATTTTTTATTGTGCGTATGGATGTAAACAGTGCTGTGTAGATTGATATAAAAATTTGATGTATTATTATAAAAATATTTGAAATTGGCACCCGCTCGTTTTCTTTCATCACATCCTCCTTGTCCCCCCCCACTTTATATGAAAAAACAAGTTTGAAACCGGTCTGTATTTAGTGATTTCGCTGCCAAACTGTCTTGGCTGTTTACTGGATGTTGGAGCTGTAATTCAATGCTAGACAGGGCATTTAGTCCCAGAGTAGTTGTTTCCCAGAGTGTGATAAGTAGACATCGGAAACTTTGTGACAAAGTGGCAATCTATATTGTGCTAGTAAGCAGCAATACGCTTTGTGGTAGCAAAGGCTAAATCTGTGGTCCAAGCCATGTGCCGCTCTATGCTCACAATAGACGATGCTGCTCATAAAAACGTGCCATACACAAAGCGTCCCACACATGCACAAATGACGAAATGCCTAGCCAACATCTGCAAAAAACCTGAATTTGTTTGCCGGCACACCAGGCCGACAGGGCAGGCATTAGGGTGCCACTAGATATCTATTGAATAAATTGATTGATGC